GGTTTCAACAACAAATCTAAAGAATGTAACAAAATGGGTTCAAAAGAAAACTAAGGCAAACATAACTCATAACAAACCAAAGACTGACCTCACACAATGAACACACAGGGGAATTTATACAAACAGGCTAGCCTACACAAACGAGGAAGAAAAGGAAGACAAAAGGAGGGAAGGAGACAAAAACAAATAATGTATAAACATAAATGACTAATTGTAAACTAAAAAAAAACACAACTATGAAACCAAAATAACCTAATACCAAAAAGGTTTTAGCAATTATGCCATTAGTGGAGAGAGGCAGACTCTTTAAGATCAAGTCCCCTGCTTCCAGCAGCCTGTTGGATGGTTCCACTTCCTGGTTTTCCTTTCAGCCAACCCCCTTCTGTCAGCCAGTCCTTAAACTCAGCAAACAAAATAGTTAATGATCTTAAAAAAACAACATAAGGCGTTTACTAAATGTGTGCACCCAAATTAGTAAACAACCTAATGCAATAACCACCAAAGAAAAAGTGAAAATCTAAATATATTATATGAAAACATTTAAATAAATACTAACACTGAGGAAAAGGTGGAGGAACCTCCACACACTCCCCCTCTTCTGGAAACTCCATAGGCCAGCATGACAGGTAGTCGGCAGTAGAGTTCAGCTTCCCAGGGATATGATGGACATCAAACTGGAATGGTTGCATCGCCAGGTACCAACGCGTTATTCTGCTGTTTGAGTCTTTCATTCTTTCAAGCCACTTCAGAGCCTTGTGATCCATTTCTAGGATGAACCGTGTCCCCAACAGATAATATTTGAGTGAATCCAAAGCCCACTTCACAGCTAGGCACTCCTTTTCTATAGTGGAGTATCGAGTTTCCCTTGGGTAGAGCTTTCTGCTTATAAAAGCAATTGGATGACGGCCCCCTGGAGGCCCTTGAAGCAGCACTGCACCCAGCCCACGCCCAGATGCATCAGTTTGCAAAATAAATGGCTGGTCAAAGTCAGGGCAGTGTAATGTTGGAGGTCCACTCAAGGCACCTTGGATGTCCTTAAAAGCTCTCTCTGCTTCCTCCGACCACTGAAGCTGATTAGGTCTCTTGGGGCTGGTCATATCTGTAAGCACAGCAGCTCTGGCAGAAAAGTTAGGAATGAACTTATGGTACCAACCCGACATTCCAAGTAAGTATTTTAGCTGTGTCCTGGTCTGTGGCAGAGGACATGACTGAATTGCTTGAACCTTCTGAATCTGAGGTTTGATGACTCCATTGCCAATAATAAGTCCAAGATATTGAACTTCCTTCTTGGCCAGGGTGCATTTAGCTGCATTAACAGTCAGACCTGCAGCATGAAAAGACTCAAAAACAGCCTAAGATGTTGCAGATGGTCCTCCCAGCTGTTACTGTAGATGACAATATCATCTAAATAGGCAGATGCAAAATTTGAAAGACCTCCCAGTACCTTATCCATAAGCCTCTGGAAGGTCGCAGGTGCTCCATGTAGCCCAAAAGGCATCACTGTGAACTGATGGAGGCCCCAAGGTGTCCGGAAAGCTGTTAGCTCACGAGACCTGGTGGTAAGGGGAACCTGCCAATAACCTTTAGAGAGATCAATGGTGGTAAGATATTTTGCTTTTCCAAGACAGCAAATCAAATCATCAATACGGGGAGTTGGATACGAGTCAAACTTGGAAACAGAGTTCAAATAGCGGAAGTCTATACAGAACCTCATGGTGCCATCCTTTTTTGGTACAAGGACAATAGGATTACACCAGTCACTGTGAGAAGTCTCAATGATACCCAGAGAAAGCATTAATTCAATCTCCTCTTTTAAAGGGCCAAGGAGACGCTCAGGGATTCTGTAGCTCCTTTGTTTCACAACTGCATCCTCTTTCAGACGAATATCATGTTCCATATAGTCAGTACGTCCAGGATTATCATGAAACAAATTGATGTTACAAAGGGCTCTCACTTGCACCTGCTGTTCTGGGGAGAGATGACTCAGGTCAAGAACAGAAGCTGATGGTAGAGGCAGGTATTGTTCCTCCACCTCCTCATCTGATACACTTCTTATGAAAAATACATCTTGCTTCCCCTCAGGCCTTGAGACCCACTCCTTTAGCAGGTTAATGTTAAGAACTCTAGTACTGCGTCTTTGATCTGGAGTACAGATCTTGTAGGTGGTAGGACCCAGTTTTTGAACAACCTCGTATGGACCTTGCCACTGAGCCAAAAACTTACTGTTATCAGTAGGTTGCAGTACCAATACCTTTTGACCTGGTTCAAAACTCCTTACATGAGCAGTTTGATCATACCAGGTTTTTTGCTTCTGTTGAGAAACACGCATATGTTCCTTAGCCAATGAGGTCATCTTTTCCAACTTCTCTCTCATCTGGAGGACATAAGAAATTGTATTAACAGGTTCTTTTACAGGTTTCTCCCCCTCCCACCTTTCCTTCAAAAGGGCCAGTGGACCTCGCACCTCATGCCCAAAAAGCAACTCAAAGGGGGAAAACCCGGTAGAGGCTTGGGGTACCTCCCGATATGCAAACAAGAGGTAAGGGAGCCACTGATCCCAATCAGACCCAGCTTCATTGATGAACTTACGAAGCATGTTCTTAAGAGTCTGATTAAACCTCTCTGTGAGTCCATCAGTTTGCGGGTGATATGGGGTGGTTCTCAGTCCCCTAATGCCAATCAGTTTATACACATCCTTCAGTAGTTTGGACATAAAATTTGTCCCTTGATCAGTCAGTATTTCTTTGGGAAACCCCACTCGTGAAAAAAACTGAACCAGGCAAAAGGCAACAGTCTTAGCCTTAACAGATTTCAGAGGGAACACTTCTGGATACTTTGTGGCATAATCAGTGATAACCAACATAAATCGGTTACCTGATTTGCTCTTCTCCACTGGACCTACTACATCCATGCCCAAACGTTCAAATGGTGTATTTATAATAGGTAGAGGCTGAAGAGGCGCTCTCGCTGCAAATCTGGTGGATGTTTTTTGACACTGAGGACAACTCTTGCAAAAACTGGCAACATCTTTGTGTAATCCAGGCCAGTAGAAACACCGTTTGATTCGGGCTATAGTTTTATGTTTCCCCAGGTGGCCAGCCCAGGGAACTGAATGGCCCAAAGTCAATACTGTTTTCCTAACTTTTCTGGGTAACACAAGCTGTTGTAATTCTCCATGTCTCCTATAGAGGATGCCATTTTGCATGTAAAATTCCTCTGCAGTTTCACCTTCTTCAACTCTTTTCATAAGGTCAGCCAGACTTCTGTCCTGGTGCTGCAGCTCACTAATATTATCAGGAATTTCAAAGTCTAGCTGTACCTCAGGTTCAGGTAACACAGGAGAGGCTGTGGTATGTTTGAATTTTTCTTGCTTGCGTTGTGCACGAGACTTGCGATCTTTAGTACAACACCCTTCAATCTCAGCCTCATAGAATGGCAAGGCTTTTAAGCTGGGCTCATCTTCCCCAGAGGTCTTTGCCTGGGATCGTGTCAGCACCACATTGCACATTTTAGAAGCATTTATTAGGTCAGTGAGAACTGGGAGATCATTTCCTAGGACAACAGGAAAAGGTAATTCATCCATGACACCCACATTTAACAGGTAAACATGTCCTTGCACTCTCATGAAAATGTCTGCTGTCGGATATTGTTTTTCATCCCCATGAACACAGCAGATAGGTATTGTCTCAGAGGTACAAATACTATGTGGTGGAACATACCTGCGGTGTACCAGTGACTGGGTGCTTCCTGTGTCAATCAGAGCTTTGACTCTCTTCCCATCTATCTCCACAGTAGTCTCCATCAGTGGCTGGTTTTGTCTATTCACTACCTGGTTCTCTCTGGGTACAAAACACATCTGAGAGAGTTTCGTAGGATTTTGAGGACACACAGGCTTTGTGTGGCCCTCCTGCCCACATAAATAGCAGATGGGTTTTTTCACAGGTTTTGTTTGACTGGGGGAAAAACATTTTTCTTTTCCAGACTGCTTATTCACATTTCCAGTTTGACCGTTACCTGGAATCGGCATAAACTCCCTTTTTGCAGCTCTAAAAGCCCATGATTGGGTCTTCCTGCGGGCAGCCACAAAAGCATCTGCCAGGGAGACCGCCTCTGCTGCATCTTTTGGGTTTCGTTCCTTAATCCAAACTTGGAGTTCGGGAGACAACATTCGGAAATACTGTTCAAGAATGATGATGTCATTTATTTCTTCAACAGTCTTACCTCGAGGCTGAACCCATTTGCTATACAGTTCTTTAAGTCTCACAAAAAGCTCTTTGGGGGACTCATTTGGCTCCACATGAAGAGACCGGAACCTCTGACGATAAGTCTCGTTATTAATTTCATATTTCTGTAAAATAGCAGCTTTAACATCATCAGTTCATTGTTTATCCACATCCATATGTACATATGCACTCCTGGCTTTACCAGTCAAGAGTGGAATCAACTGAAATGCCCAGTCACTTTTTGGCCATCGACAAGCACATGCTATCCTCTCAAAAGTTATAAGGAAATGCTCAATGTCATCATCTTCAGTTAACTTTTGCAGTTTTGGTTCTTTATAAAAAGGTGTAGAAACTGAGTCACCTGGCTTAACAGCAGACAGTGCAGGTCCTGGTGGTGAACGAGCCACATCATCAGGCCTCAAACCTGTAGAGGAAGGGGCGTGGTCTTGCACAAAAGGCCTCAGGCCTTCAGAAGACTGGGCCTGAAGCTCCTCTTGAAATAAAGTGAACTGATGTTGGAGAGCCTTAAACCTGTGATCTTGACGTGCCATTTCTTTCTCCCACTGTTCCTCTCGAGCTTTCTGCTGTCCAATGTGGGCCTGAAGGATCCCCGCCAAGTCGGATATGGTTGGCTCTCTTCCCTCTTCATCCTCTTCACAAATTGCACCACACTCCTCATGCTCTGTTTGCGCTTCCTTGTCTGATGGAGCTGACTTGCCTTTACCACCTCTGGCTCCTCTCATGGTTTAGGTCTCTTTCTTTTTTTTTGTTTCAAAAAAAAAAAAATCAATAAATACACCTTTGTCCTTCACTGGTGGATCCCACTTCTGACACCAACTGTGATGGTCCGACCAGTCAAGGACATATATAAAAAAATTTCTTCTATTCATTTTTTCCAAAAAACATCTTAACAAAAGGTTTCAACAACAAATCTAAAAAATATAACAAAATGGGCCCAAAAGAAATCAACTAAGGCAAACATAACTCAAGATAAACCAAAAACTGACCTCACACAATGAACACACAGGGGAATTTATACAAACAGGCTAGCCTACACAAACGAGGAGGGGTAGGGAAGGAGACAAAGATAAATAATATATAAACATAAATGACTAATTTAAACTAAAACATTTTGACTTAAACACCACTATAAAAACCAAATAACCTAACACCAAAAAGGTTTTAGCAATTATGCCATTAGTGGAAAGAGGCAGATTCTTTCCACATCAAGTCCCCTGCTTCCAGCAGCCTGATGGACTGTTCCACTTCCTGGTGTTCCTTTCAGCCAGTCCTTAAACTCAGCAAACAAAATAATTAATGATCTTAAAAAAACATAAGGCATTTGCTAAATGTGTGCACCCAAATTAGCAAACAACCTAATGCAATAACCACCACCNAGTATAAACATAAATGACTAATTTAAACTAAAACATTTTGACTTTAACATAACTATAAAAACCAAAATAACCTAACACCAAAAGGTTTTAGCAATTATGCTATTAGTGGAGAGAGGCAGATTCTTTCACATCAAGTCCCCTGCTTCCAGCTGCCTGATGGACTGTTCCACTTCCTGGTTTTCCTTTCAACCAACCACCTTCTGCTAGCCAGTCCTTAAACTCAGCAAAACAAAATGTTAATGATCTTAAATAAACATAAGGTGTTTACTAAATATGTGCACCGAAATTAGTAAACAACTTAATGCAATAACCACCACCAAAGAAAAAGTGAAATTCTAATCATATGAAAACATTTAGATAAATACTAACACTGAGGAAAAGATGGAGGAACTTCCACACACTCCCCCTCTTCTGAAATCTCCATGGGCCAGCGTGACAGGTAGTTGGCATTAGAGTTCAGCTTCCCAGGGATGTGATGGACATCAAACTGGAATGGTTGCATCGCCAGATACCAGCGAGTTATTCTGCTGTTTGAGTCTCATTCTTTCAAGAATTCAGAGCCTTGTGATCCATTTCTAGGATGAACCGTGTCCAACAGATAATATTTGAGTGAATCCAAAGCCCACTTCACAGCTAGGCACTCCTTTTCTATAGTGGAGTATCGAGTTTCCCTTGGGTAGAGCTTTCTGCTTATAAAAGCAATTGGATGACGGCCCCCTGGAGGCCCTTGAAGCAGCACTGCACCCAGCCCACGCCCAGATGCATCAGTTTGCAAAATAAATGGCTGGTCAAAGTCAGGGCAGTGTAATGTTGGAGGTCCACTCAAGGCACCTTGGATGTCCTTAAAAGCTCTCTCTGCTTCCTCCGACCACTGAAGCTGATTAGGTCTCTTGGGGCTGGTCATATCTGTAAGCACAGCAGCTCTGGCAGAAAAGTTAGGAATGAACTTATGGTACCAACCCGACATTCCAAGGAAGGATTTTAGCTGTGTCCTGGTTTGTGGCAGAGGACACAACTGAATTGCTTGAACCTTCTGGATCTGAGGTTTGATTACTCCATTGCCAATAATATGTCTGAGATATTGAACTTCCTTCTTGGCCAGGGTGCATTTAGCTGCATTAACAGTCAGACCTGCAGCATGAAAAGACTCAAAAACAGCCTAAGATGTTGCAGATGGTCCTCCCAGCTGTTACTGTAGATGACAATATCATATAAATAAGCAGATGCAAAATTTGAAAGACCTCCCAGTACCTTATCCATAAGCCTCTGGAAGGTTACAGGTGCTCCATGTAGCCCAAAAGGCATGCGGTGAACTGATGGAGGCCCCAAGGTGTCAGGAAAGCTGTCAGCTCACAAGACCTGGTGGCAAGGGGAACCTGCCAATAACCTTTAGAGAGATCAATGGTGATAAGATATTTTGCTTTTCCAAGACAGCAAATCAAATCGATACGGGGAGTTGGATACGAGTCAAACTTGGAAACAGAGTTCAAATAGCGGAAGTCTATACAGAACCTCATGGTGCCATCCTTTTTTGGTACAAGGACAATAGGATTACACCAGTCACTGTGAGAAGTCTCAATGATACCCAGAGAAAGCATTAATTCAATCTCCTCTTTTAAAGGGCCAAGGAGACGCTCAGGGATTCTGTAGCTCCTTCGTTTCACAACTGCATCCTCTTTCAGACGAATATCATGTTCAGTATAGTCAGTACGTCCAGGATTATCATGAAACACACTGACATTACAACGGGCTCTCACTTGCAACTGCTGTTCTGGGGAGAGATGACTCAGGTCAAGAGCAGAAGCTGATGGTAGAGGCAGGTATTGTTCCTCCACCTCCTCATCTGATACACTTCTGATAAAAAATACATCTTGCTTCCCCTCAGGCCTTGAGACCCACTCCTTTAGCAGGTTAATGTTAAGAACTCTAGTACTGCGTCTTTGATCTGGAGTACAGATCTTGTAGGTGGTAGGACCCAGTTTTTGAACAACCTCGTATGGACCTTGCCACTGAGCCAAAAACTTACTGTTATCAGTAGGTTGCAGTACCAATACCTTTTGACCTGGTTCAAAACTCCTTACATGAGCAGTTTGATCATACCAGGGTTTTTGCTTCTGTTGAGAGACACGCATATGTTCCTGAGCCAATGAGGTCATCTTTTCCAACTTCTTTCTCATCTGGAGGACATAAGAAATTGTATTAACAGGTTCTTTTGCAGGTTTTTCCCCCTCCCACCTTTCCTTCAAAAGGGCCAGTGAACCTCGCACCTCATGCCCAAAAAGCAACTCAAAGGGGGAAAATCCGGTAGAGATCCCGATATGCAAACAAGAGGTAAGGGAGCCACTGATCCCAATCAGACCCAGCTTCATTGATGAACTTACGAACCATGTTCTTAAGAGTCTGATTAAACCTCTCTGTGAGTCCATCAGTTTGCGGGTGACATGGGGTGGTTCTCAGTCCCCTAATGCCAATCAGTTTATCACATCCTTCAATTGTTTGGACATAAAATTTGTCCCTTGATCAGTCAGTATTTCTTTGGGAAACCCCACTCGTGAAAAAAACTGAACCAGGCAAAAGGCAACAGTCTTAGCCTTAACAGATTTCAGAGGGAACACTTCTGGATACTTTGTGGCATAATCAGTGATAACCAACATAAATCGGTTCCCTGATTTGCTCTTCTCCACTGGACCCACAACATCCATGCCCAAATGTTCAAATGGTGTATAATGGAAGAGGCTGAAGAGGAGCTCTCGCTGCAAATCTGGTAGATGTTTTTTGACAACTCCTGCAAAAACTGGCAACATCTTTGTGTAATCCCGGCCAGTAGAAACACTGTTGGATTTGGGCTATAGTTTTATGTTTTCCCAGGTGGCCAGCCCAGGGAATTGAATGGCCCAAAGTCAATACTGTTTTTCTGACTTTTCTGGGTAACACAAGCCGTTGTAATTCTCCATGTCTCCTATAGAGGTTGCCATTTTGCACGTAAAATTCCTCTGCAGTTTCACCTTCTTCAACTCTTTTCATAAGGTCAGCCAGACTTCTGTCCTGGCGCTGCAGCTCACTAATATTATCAGGAATTACAAAGTCTAGCTGTACCTCAGGTTCAGGTAACACAGGAGAGGTTGTGGTATGTTTGAATTTTTCTTGCTTGCGTTGTGCACGAGACTTACGGTCTTTAGTACGACACCCTTCAATCTCAGCCTCGTAGAATGGCAAGGCTTTTAAGCTGGGCTCATCTTCACCAGAGGTCTTTGCCTGAGATTGTGTCAGCACAACATTGCACATTTTAGAAGCATTTATTAGGTCAGTGAGAACTGGAAGATCATTTCCCAGGACAAAAGGAAAAGGTAATTCATCCATAACACCCACATTTAACAGGTAAACATGTCCTTGAGGTCTCATGTAAATGTATGCTGTTGGATATTCTTTTTCATCCCCATGAACACAGCAGATGGGTATTGTTTCAGAAGTGCAGATACTATGTGGTGGGACATACCTGCAGTGTACCAGTGACTGGGAGCTTCCTGTGTCAATCAGAGCTTTGACCCTCTGCCCATCTATTTCCACAGTAGTCTCCATCAGTGGCAGGATTTGTCTGTTCAATATATGGTTCTCTCTGGGTACAAGACACATCTGAGAGAGTTTCGCAGGATTTTGAGGACACATAGGCTTTGTGTGGCCCTCCTGCCCACATAAATAGCAGATGGTTTTTTTTACAGGTTTTGTTGACTGGGGGAAAAACATTTTTCTTTTCCAGACACCTTACTCACATTTCCAGTTTGACTGGTGTTACCTGGAATCGGTATAAACCCCCTTTTTGCAGCTCTAAAAGCCCATGATTGGGTCTTCTTGCGGGCAGCCACAAAAGCATCTGCCAGGGAGACCGCCTCTGCTGCATCTTTTGGGTTTCGTTCCTTAATCCAAACTTGGAGTTCTGGAGACAACATTCGGAAATACTGTTCAAGAATTATGATGTAATTTATTTCTTCAACAGTCTTACCTCGGGGCTGAACCCATTTGCCGTACAGTTCTTAAGTCTCACATGAAGCTCCTTGGGGGACTCATTTGGCTCCACATGAAGAGAGCGGAACCTCTGACGATAAGTCTCGTTGTTAATTTCATATTTCTGTAAAATAGCAGCTTTAACATTATCATAGTTCATTGATTCATCCACATCCATATGTACATATGCACTCCTGGCTTTACCAGTCAAGAGTGGAATCAACTGAAATGCCCAGTCACTTTTTGGCCATCGACAAGCACATGCTATCCTCTCAAAAGTTATAAGGAAATGCTCAATGTCATCATCTTCACTTAGCTTTTGCAGTTTTGGTTCTTTATAAAAA